AGCACAAATACTCACAGACTAAAGCAAGATCGAGTCAAGACCGGAGCAAATCGAGTCTGAGTCAAGACCAAGACTGGAGCAAATCGAGTCTTAGTCAAGACCAAGACCGGAGAAAATCGAGTCAAGACCGAGACCAGGACTGAGGCAAGGAGGGGGCAAGTCCCAGTTACGACCGAGACCAGAACAATGCGAATCCAATTCAAGACCATGACTGTAATTTTGTCAGATCGCCACCATAATGAGAGCTCACAATGTACAATATTTATGTGTCAATACTTCAGTAGAACATAAAAGACTCTTTACCATTCAGAATGGTGAAAAACTGCATTCTGAGGGAAAATGATCACTAACCATGGTCTCCAATTAATAGATAAAAAAAACAAGGGGAGACCCCCCGGTTTCCCCTAAGCAAGTGCGCGACTCAATTTCCCTCAGTCTGCCCTTCTAAGGGAGCAAGGAAATTATGAAGAGTGCCACAAGGTTTGAGGATATGTTTCAACAAAGAAAGCCCAGGTTTTAATAGGCTATAAGATATAAATGTGTCATGAAAGGCGTGTGGATATCTGGCCTGGCAAAGCAATTTTCGGTTTTATGTGCTGACTGAAAAGGGTCTGATAATTATTTGTTTTTTTACTCCACTGGTCTCGGCTGGTCTCCAGAAGAAATGACGAGTCCTCATTGTCCTAGACCGAGTCAAGACCGAGTAAAAATGTATCCGAGACCAAGACAAGACAGAGACACTCAATATGTGGTCTCGAGACCGGACTCGAGTACTACAACACTGGTGTATACACTAGTGTAACGCTGGTGTTACATTGGAAAAGCAGCAACAGATAATGGATTGTGGGTGTTAGTGGCTGATGTAAGCCCCATAACCACTCTCTCTCTCTCTCTCACACGCACGCACGCACGCACGCACGCACGCACGCACGCACACACACACACACACACACACACACACACACACACACACACACACACACACACACACACACACACACACACACACACACGCACGTAGAGCAGACCTGTGTGTGAGAGAATAAGATGTGGGTGTTAGTGGTTGATGCAAGCCCAGTGGGACCTGTCTCTCTGAGGAGGAGTCACAGATATAGTGGGAGAAGGGGGGAGGAGGAGGGGAAGAGCAGGGGAGGAGCAGGGGAGTTCAGGTTCAGGAGGGAGGAGAGTGCAGCGGAGTTCAAATGGCTCAGAGTTTGGTTGGTTGGATCATGGTGTGTTTAGCATCAGAGTTGTGGGTTTGGTTGGTTGAATCATGGTGTTTTTAACATCGGAGTTGTGGGTTTGGTTGGTTGGATCATGGTGTGTTTAGCATCAGAGTTGTGGGTTTGGTTGGTTGAATCATGGTGTTTTTAACATCGGAGTTGTGGGTTTGGTTGGTTGGATCATGGTGTGTTTAGCATCAGAGTTGTGGGTTTGGTTGGTTGAATCATGGTGTTTTTAACATCAGAGTTGTGGGTTTGGTTGGTTGGATCATGGTGTGTTAAAAAAAAGATATATATATTTAACCTTTATTTAAGCAGGGACTACAGTCTCTTTCTCAGATGAGCCCTGCATGAACACATTAATAAACAACAATTTCACTATACATATCTATACAGTATCTCACAAAAGTGAGTACACCCCTCACACCGAAGAAATGACACTTTGCTACAATGTAAAGTAGTGAGTGTACAGCTTGTATAACAGTGTAAATTTGCTGTCCCCTCAAAATAACTCAACACACAGCCATTCATGTCTAAACCGCTGGCAACCAAAGTGAGTACACCCCTAAGTGAAAATGTCAAAATT